GGCAAGTTTGGGTGAGTTTGGGCAAGTTTGTTCAGCTTCTAGGAACCTTACCTTAACTTTCCTGCAGGTTTCAGTAGCTGCCCCTGCACCTAAGGTTCATCTGAAGTGAAATGAGATTACACAACCCTGCGATTTTCTTCCCACAATGTCGGTTGCATAAGAACATTTGGGAGAGTTGAGCTAATCTGAGGTCTTCCTGAGCTCTGGAGGCCAAAGGCCATATCATGTGATGCCTTTGGAATGAATAATAATTCCCCCCTATTTTAAGTGCAATAGGCTAAAGGTTAAGGTAACCCCCAACACATACCACACACACACCACACACACCACACACACCACACACACACACACATCTTGCTATTTCAAGGCATGCACAGACAGCTCACAGGAGCCTACCAACAAGCTTTGACCCTGGGAAGTCTCTTAACTTTTCTGTGTCCCAGCTCCTAGGAGTGTAAGTGAGGGCATTTTTACTGATGTTTAATAGTAATTATCAGTTTGAGCAGAGCCTACTGCATTCCAGGTGTTGGATGGTGTTAGCTTTAAGTACACACAAACTCCATTCAACAAGCTAACCATCAATTAATTACTTAATACATCCATTCTTTGTTAACTGTAATCTATTTGTTTTTCATTTTTATTATGTATATCTGTATGTGGGTATGTGTACCTCTTTATGCAGTACCCGAGGAGGCCAGAAGAGGGCAGCAGATCTCCCTGGACATGCAGTTATAGGTGGTTGTGAGCTGCCTGGTGGCTTGAACTCAACACCTTTGTAAGCACTAATATTGTTCTTAACTGCTGAGTCCTCTCTCTCTTCCCTACCCACAATGCATTGAGATGCTGGAGCACTTCTTCTGCTGGGTGCCAGGATTTTGAAGCACCCAATGCCCTTGAGCCTATTATAGTGAAATCATATTGAAGAAACAATATGTCTTCATCCAGTAGTAATTCAGCCAGAAAACTTCAGGTCACACTGGGTTAGGCTGCCTCTCTGCTGGAGTGGTAACTCTGGTGTGTCAAGTTTTAACTTCAGAGGAATCCCCTTTCCCTGCCTACTTCTCCTGGGAAACTCCCAACTGGCCTTCCTCCTTCAGCCTGTTGCCATGATAAGCACTTGAGAGGAATCTATGTCCCGCATCAAATAGTGATTTCGGCACAGCAGGGATACAGATGAATTTCGGTGGCTAGAATGCTCACCTAGTATGGGCAAAGTCCAGGATCCATCCCTAATGTGACATAAACCAGACATGAAGGCCCATGCCTATGGGACTGGGGAGCTGTGTGGCCCAGAGAGCCAGCCTGAAGCAAGAGTGAGGTCGAAGCGTGTCGAAACCATGAACATCTTTGTCTTGCGACTGGCAAGAGCAGGACCCATTCTCTCCCTGTCCTGGGCCTGCCTGTCCCGGCCAGGTAGCCTTATAGGGAGGGTGGTCACACAGCCTGGCAGCCAGGTTACAGGCTAAACTTCCCTTCTCCTTATAAAGTCATGTCCAGCAAGTACCTGGAATTCCTCTTCATGCAAATAAGTCATTCCCAGAACCTCAGCCCCAGCCCATGATGTATATTCACCCCAAAAGCCTCTAACCATTCCCCAAAGGTTTAAATAGCCTTTGTTCACCCAATTAAATGAGCTGTCTCACTGAAGCTGTCTCCTGAGAAGTCTGCTTCTCGAATGCTCACCATGCCCTGAGGTCTCCAGCGCCCCCCAGCCCCCCCAGCCCCCGGCCCTTCCTGCCTTGCTTCCCTTCCCAGGATCCACCAGTTGTGATCTCCAGTGGTCCATGCCCTTACAGGTGAGGAAGTGGGGCCAGGAATTGTACATGCCTGTAACAAACCCCACCGCTTGAGAGTTAGAGGCAGGAGAATAAGAAGTTTCCAGGTCAAATTCAGCTGTGAGTTCAGGCCTAACCTTGAAAACAAAACAAAACAAAGAAACAACAAAAAACTGGGGATCTGAGATCTGAGAACATCTGAATGTTCTCCCTGAGGTGGTCGGCGTGTGGACTGTGATGAGAGGATCAGAGCAGCTGACTACCGTGGAAGAAATCTGATGGCCCCAACTCTGCTCTGCTGGAGAGACTGTGTGAGAAAGCCTTAAGAAGATAAACTCAGTCCCAGCCTTCCAGCAACTAAGCCAACCCAACCGGGACTCTGTGAATCAGAATCATGGCCCACTAAATGTCGGTGCTCAGGTGTGTTCCTGAGCACTGCCTCTGTTTCAGTATGAGAAGCAGCAGTGGCTTGCGCTCCTGGAATTTGGCCAGTCATGGAGCATGGTCTCTTGGAAGGAGGAAGTTTCCCAGAACCTAATGGACAATGTCAAGAGCAGCTAGGGTATCATGAGTATGCTGTCCAGCATCCTTCAGGCCTTCGAGGTCTTCCAAGAGTATTGAGTGGCGTGAGCGAGCCTGCAGGAGAGCTGTAGAGAAAGGTGTGCTCACTTGAAAAGGAAGACCACACTTTGAACTTCATGCATCCGGCCTTCCTCCCTTCTCTACCTTGTGCTAAACTCTTCTGGAGGCCAGTGAGCAAGGCACTCGCTCATTCAAGCAACCTACAGAGGCTAGATTTTTGGGTCCAAAGCAAAGAAGAGGAACGAGAGAGCCTGGCTCAGGGCCTGCTTCCTAGTGGAAATTAGAAGCCCGTGAGTCAGAGGAAAATGTCTGAGATATATTGCCCTCCCGGGGATTCTGGGGTTACTAAACCCCAAACCTGACTCCATAGGGTTTTTGCTACCTTTCTGGAGCTCATTACCAAAAGGAAGTCACACCTGGCCCCCACCCCCGCTGCTCCCCAATCTACCTGCTACAGCCACCTGCTGCGGGAGGGGCGGGGGTCACAGCTGATCATAGAGGAGAATTGATTTCTCAAGAGAAAGATGCGGGAGGCAAAGGCAGACTCTGCAAACCCCGAGGTTAAAGAGAGAGTGGGAGAGGATGCCCGCAGCCACAGAGCTCTCCGAGTCCACAGCCTCCTCAAGGACTTCCGGTCCTGTCTTGACTTCATTGTGTACCTTTTGGGTTTCCTGGTCTTGCAGACTGCTATTAATTAGTTTTTGTTTGAGTTAATCCAGCTTTTCATTTCAGGGCTGCTTTCTCCCGCTAAGGGTTCAGGTTTGAAAATGTCACTAACAACCTCGATAATTTAGTGTGGAAAGCCTCAACAGCCAGGGAATTATACCCGATGAATAATATACTCAGCCAATCTCGCTGTAGAAGTCCTTCATTAACATATCAAAAGACTGAAAAAGTGTGCCCCCTTTGACCTGAAAAGTTCCTGTCTAGTGAAAAGAGGTTTGGGGTTTTTTCCCCCTAAAGAAATAATTACAGAGGTACACAAATATTCAATTAAAAATGTGGTCAATGAGTTATCCTTAGGTCTATAAAGACTGGGAAGAACCTAATATTTAACAAAACATAATCATGATAATAATAAATGTTCAGTGTCCCCCGTGTACCAGGCACAAACATAAATACTTAGTCTCTATTAATCTAATTCCCACAAACTTCTTCTAAGAAAGAAAGTATTTTTTGGCTCATGTTAGAGCTAGCCGGGCACAGAAAGCCCGAGCAGCTTGCCAAAAGTTTCACAGACTCTGGCTAAGTATTTGCCAAAGACAGGGCATGAAATCAATGGAGGCCTCTAGACTATTTGAAAGTTATAAATCAACAGCTAAATATCTTTCCTATTCTCCGTCTGGAAGAACATACTTCCACGATCACGCAGGGGGTGGGTTCTCAGGCCCTCAGCCACCCTGGAGTTCCGTCCAGGGACCAGGAGGCGCAGAGTGACACAGGTCAGTCCAGAGCACACCTTTGTCTTTTGCTGCCCTGTGCCCTACCACGAGGGGCCACAGGCAGAGGTGAGGAAACACTCTCCAGCCCACCGAGCCCCCATCTAAGCGGAGCCACCTTCCGTGCCTCGGGCTACACACACTGGAAGCATGCCTGCTGCTCAGGGGGATGGCCACAGGAGCAGAGTAGGGGGTGCAGAGTTTCCAGGAGCTGTGTGTCTAGAGAGTGGCTTGGAAGAGAGTGCAGGTTCTGCTAAAATAGCGTGCCCGCTCCGCAGACTCCTCATCCCAGGCAAGGACTGTGCCAGCAGGCGGCCCAGAGAGGCCAGTCTATTGATTTCTCCAGGGAAACATCAAGATGGAGTGTAGGTCTAAGGCAGTTTCTTGATTTTTAGGAGAAAAGCGTGGGAGCCTCATGAAGCGCAGTTCTAGGAGGGCCTTGGAGGGCACACCCATCGCCAGTGCCCTCAGAGAGCTCTGAATTAACCAGCAGCATAGCCCACTGATGAGTCGAAGTACAGGCTCTGTTCACCCATTCCGAGAATGCCACCGGAGCTGTCACTGACCAAAGACCACTCCAACCATCATACCAAACACGACCCTTAAAAATGAAGTGCTGGGTGTGGGGCACACACTTGTAATACTAGAAGCCTGAAGCAGGAGGTTTGTGAGTTCAAGGCCAACCTCGTAGTGAAACCCTGTTTCAAAATTACTATGAATACAAATGCCAATAGTAATCATAATTATGAATAATAGTAATAACAAAAAATAATAAGTGAATGAAATTATTTTAACAAACTGGGAGACAGCTATAAAACAGCTTTAAATTACATTTAATTAGTGTATGTGTGCATGTCTGCACATGTGTGCGCACTCACACACACAAGCCTGAATCACAGCGCTTATGTGTGACAGTGCTTATCAGAAGACAACTTGCAAGGTTTGGTTCTCTCCTTCCACCATGTTGGACCTGGAGTTTGAACTCGGGTCATTAGGTTTGGCAGCAAGTGCCTTTGCCCCTGAGCCACCCCACAGCCTTTCTATCCCACCTTAAATATCATACATACCTATTGAAAGATATTCCTAAAGCTTTATACATGGTAGGGAAACAATGCTAAACAGCAAGCATGCTATAGAACCTTTTTGAGGAAAAAAAAAATGATGGTTTCACACATAGGAAAAAAGCAGAAAGAATAAACAAAGATTTCTTTAAAATATTTATTCATTATGTATATAGTTTTCTGCCTGTGTGCCAGAAGAGGGTACCAGATCTCGTTATAGATGGTTGTGAGCCACCATGTGGTTGCTGGGAATTGAACCCAGGAAGTTTGGAAGAACAGACAGTGCTCTTAATCTCTGAGTCATCTCTCCAGCCCCTAAACATGCCAAAATAACTCTGATGTTTGGGGGTGGTCTTTGCATTTTTTTTCCTCTTTATTTGCACTTCTGAACTCTTCAGAAAGCTGAGAATTGCTTAACTGCAAGAGAGTGAAAGCCACAATTTGCCAGTGCAGTCCTTGGATACACTGAACTCACAGGAGCATGTCCACACTGTTTCTGCTTCCTGTGCATACAGGAAGCCTGGGTTTCATGGCGCCTTGTATTTCACCGAACCACACCATTTCTTATCCTTGGCCATGCTGGCAGCTTAGAGTCCCCAGCTCCTCATGCCATTAGATTTGTGCCCATGTCTGGTGTACAGAGCAGTAGTAGCAGTTTTCATGCTTTAACCCAGCCCCCTGCGATTTCCTGCTTTCTCTTCCTCTGCCGTGTGTTCTATGAGACGTACTGCAGAATGGCAGAAGGGCTACCACACGGAGGGCTACCTGGCTGGCGTGGTCACCGAATCAGCAGGGTGAGCAATTGTCCTGCGTTGTTTATGACTAACACCAGGACTGTCGTCGGGAAACCTGGAAGTGGGTGGAGACTTATGTGAACAAAGAGTAAAGTTTTATTCTCTTAACCTGGTGTGATGTGCAGTTTGAGCCAGTGTGGCCACCAACCACAGCCTTTTCAGATCATGACAGAGACAGCTGTGAGCTTTTCAACGCAAGAAAGGCCAGGCAGAGCAGCCTTGTAATTCTGTGGCCAGAAGCCTTGTACTTCTGACTTTTGACAGTGTGAGTCTCTGATATCTGCAAAGGGTATGACAATAAATCCTAGATAACATTAGCATTGTGAAAATTTTTTTTAAATCAAATTTTATAACCATTGTTTTTTTTTTTACGGCTGTAAATCCCTGTACGGATGTGATTTTCTCTTATGCTTGCTATGATGCAAAATCAGAGTCAAGCTGAAGAATATAGACTTGTATTAGCTAAGAGCTAATTAAAGTGACCAATAATTATAGATAAATAATATAAGTTAATTATTGGAAGATAGAGAAAGAAGAAAAGTGATTGATAGATGAATGAATGGATGGATGGATGATGGATGGATAGACAGACAATAGATGATCTCTGGCACGTAACAATTACCTTGCACAGATTTAAAAACAAAAGGATAAAGCTTGGAGGCACCAGAAAGCAACTGACAGAAGGCAAGGTCCAGAGAAGCTGAGCATCTATGAGGAAGTAACTCCACAATAATTTTCCTAGCTTCGTGGCTCCCAGCCTAAAAAGCAGGCAGGCACTGATCTGTACCTTCTGAGGAAGGAAGGAACCAGACAGGGAACGCCTTAGGTGGCATGTATAAACTCTGCACAAATCTTTGGCTGACCTCTGAAACACAGTCACCAGAGGAAGGCTGAAGGTATACTGGGAGGGCCAAGGTACATGAGCGGGGAACAGCAGGGAGAGAGAGCCAGTGTACCAAAGCCAAGTGCTAACTGTTATAGTGTTCTCTCTCTCTCTCTCTCTCCCTCTCTTTCTCTCTGTGTGTGTGTCTTTCTTTCTGTCTCTGTCTCTCTCTCCTCTATCTCCCTGCTTGCTCCCTCTGTCACTCTCATGATAGTCTTTGAGCATTTCATGAACGTGACCCTCACCGTGTCCACCCAAAGACAAACGTCTACTTTCACCTGAAGTGCCCCATGGTCTCCTGGTAACCATAGCAACCACACACTCTGAGATCTAAGTGTGAAGAAACCCAGATCTTCTCCCTCAGTCATGAATACTCACTGAGCTTCAGCCATGTGCACCCCGGGATGCCTTGCCAGTCTCAGAACAGAGTTCGAAGGCCTGGGGCTTGGCGGGTCCCCATCACAAGGCTTTGATTTGGAGATGTTGGCCACTCCTTCCCATCCATGAATGAACGCTGCCCAGGATGTGTGTTATGGCCTCTTTAGGAAAGAGAAGCATCCAGTCTGATGGTCTGCCAGAATCCTGAGTGCTGGAGACCTGTTTCATCTTGTCAGCGCTTGAATGCAGACAATTGAGCTGAACAAACTTTGACCTTTGTCTCCTGAGCAGTCGGCCAAAAGCCACAGATCTGTTAACATTTCTGCTTTTCACACATTCCTTTGTATTAAGATTGTTTTTTCTTCCTGTCTTTCTTTCTTTAAGAAGAAAAGCAAAGAGGCAGGAAACACACACATACACACAGAGAGACCCCACACCAGGCTTTTTCCTCCTTCCAGTAATTACATAACTCTGAGAATCCTTCCCAGATTTGCCATGTAATTCTAACAAACCCATAAACTTCTTAAAGCTTTGTTGGCAGATCAACCATGCCAACAGTACATGAATCCACCATGGCTGGGTGTTCCAGCCATCTGAATTCACATAAAAATGCTGCTGGCTAGTGAGGTCTAAAACACAGAGGAACTCCCTCCTAGAAACTAGTTCTCCCAAACAGGTACCAAGGGAAAGCCCCCTTGGAAAACGAGAGTCATTTTGGAGAAAGGAAATAGGGAACGGTGCTGAGAGAGACTTGGAGGTGGCGGCAGGGGGCTGTGTGGGTAGAGGAGAGGTGTCAACTCCTGTCATGAGGATTGCTTGGGGGAGCAAGGGATTATTTGAAGGAAATTGTGCCGGAAAATGTAATGTCGAGTAGTCGAATGATGGGAAAATCAGTTTTCAGTGTGGGCAAGGAAGACCCCAGAGGCAGAGAAAGGTTGGGAAAGAGAGGCTAAGTCAGACACGTCAGGGACCATGCCAGGCCTCCAGGCCTCTGGGGTGATGGTGCAGAGGCTTAAGCTCTGGAAATTGCAGGAGGGGCCTAGGAAGGTGGCTCAGTGCTTGCTGTGTAAGTGGGAGGACCTGACTTCAGACCCCCAGCACACCAGGTCTAGAGCTAGGGGTGGTTATGTGTGTCTGTGATGCCAGTACTTGGGTGGCTGAGGTGGCGGGGGGAATCCCTGGGGCTTGCTGGTCAACCAGACTAGCCTACTTGGTGAGCTCCTGATTCATCAAGAGATGTCTCAAAACAAATAAACAAATAAAAACAAAGGGATTGAGGAAGAAGATAGGCTTGAATTACTATATGTAGGTGCTCTAGCGCAAGGGTGCGCGAGCAAAAGTGTGTGTATGCTCACACTCACAAATTGTAGCAGAAACAGCAGAGTTTCTGAAGGGACAAGGGAAGCCCAGTTAAGAAGTACACCAAAGGCTGGCTTATCTCCATAAACAAGGTCAGCCCCTTTTGTGGTCTTCAACTCCACCCACCTCAATCTTTCTTTTCAGTCCCTTTAAATCCTGAGAAGGTCTGATGATCCAGAAATGGGGGGGGAGGGAGGGAGAGAGGCTTGGCTGAAGCAGAAAGCAATGGAGGGGGCAGGAGCAGCCTCCATCAGGACATGCTGCTGAGTCTGAAAATAAGCAGGAGAGTCCTGTCCGAGGTAAAACAGAGGGAGCTTAGAGGAGATTAAAGAAAGCGAGAGCCCAGACTTCCATCTCAAAGAGACCCAGGAGCCAGAGAGTGTTGATCAAAAGCCCCTGTGAAGCTTCAAACTCCACAGTCCCCCTTACCTCTTGATGAAGGGTGTGTGAGTGCTGCTGGCTGGTCCTGCTCTGCAGCCTGGGCTGTAGGTCCTTCATCTTCCCCACCAAGCCCCGGGATTTAGGCTAGATATGCTGGACACCCGATGCCAGGCCTAACCCACAGGCACTGCCATCTGAGAGGCGATCTTATTGAACACAGATCATCCTGGAAACAGGTCTCTTTTCTTTTCGATGAGTCAGATTGCAGTAAAAGTTTTATACAGAGTTTAGAGAAAAATGACAAGAAGTTCTCTTGTAATCGCCCTTTCAGTGAGCTAAATGGTGGTTCATAGGACTAGGAGAGCTAGGTCTGGGGTGGCAGAGCTCACTCTGGAGCCTAAGGCAACTTCAAAAGTTCAAGGCCAGCCTGGGCTACATAGTGAGTTCAAGACCACACTGGGTAACTTAGTGAAATTCCACTGCAAAATAAACCCAAAAAGGTCTTTAAAGAGGGCTGGGGTGTATGGCTCAGTGGTGGGCATCTTGCCTAACACCTATAAGGCCCTGTTTGGCATTCATGGGGCTCTAGGTTCAATCCCCAGGACCATAAAACACAAGGCTAACTTAAAGGAATGGTATTTAGACTGCATTTATAATGTATTAACACACATATTTTAAAAAGAAAGGCAATCTACTTGTTGTATTGATGTAGCCCTTTGAGTGGTGTGTGTGTGTGTGTAAAACATTTCTGGAAAGCAACATTGTTGATTGCCTTGGGAGACCAGGGTCTGGGCAGCTGAGGACAGGCTTGAGGGGTTTCCATGTTGTCCTCCCTTCTACTTTGTGGGTTTTTTTTTTTAATTTTTATTTTTTATTTTCAATCTTGCCTGTTGAATAGTGTCTTCTAAATTAATCTTCAGAAACAGAACATCATGATGAGGCTACCGTCCCCAAAGTATGCTTTCTCACCCACATCTCTCCAATGCCTCTCACCCCAAGCTCCCAGGGACTCCCATCCTATTCTCGACCTGAACAATCACAAGGCTTTTAGATTCCACATGGAGAGGAAATCAAGAAGTATTTGCTTTCTGTCTTTTGTTCACTTTACTCTATGCCCTTTGGGTTCAGCCGGGAAGCTGCCGACAGCAGGGATTTCTTCTTTCTGAAGGGTACATGAAATGAGGGAACCTTTTCCAAAGTTGGTGTTAATGGCCCTGGGGATATAGGTCAGTTGATAGCATATGCATGACATCGTGGGGTCTCACCTAAGTTAGGCGTTGCATAAATCAGGAGTGGCTGGATAGCCTTCAAGGGCAGCCTTGACTACACGGTGGGTCTGAGGACAGCCTGGGCTACATGAGGCAGGGTCTCATGACAACAGTAACCATGGCGCGTGAGTACTAATATTGACCAAGGGCATATGAGGTACCAGCAACACTACCCGTAACTGAGATTTATGAAAATTTTTATTCACTATACCTGATTGGCTGGTGGGGAGGCTGAGCAGTGCAGCAGCTATTACGAAGCAGAGCTCATGACAGGGATGCAGAAGGCTGCTAGAGCAGAGTGGCTGCTGGAGAAGAGGGCAGCCAGCTGCTCAAGTCCACAGCTGAAGCTTCAAGTTCTGAATCTTTTACCTGCTTGGGATATGAGCTTGGCTCTTGTATTAGAGCCTTGCTTGCAGTTTCTTTGTTTAAGGAGTGAGGGCCATGATGGTGAGGAGGAGGGAGAGAAGAGGAGGAGGGGGAATTGGGAAAGGAAGAGAATAAAGAGGAGTAGGGAGAGAGGGAGAAAGAGGTGGCAAGGGAAGAGAAAGATGGGGAAAGAAGGGAGGATGAAAAGTAGGGGAACAAGGAGAAGGAGGAAAAAGGAAATGGGGAAGAGGAGGGGAAAGAAGAAGGAGGAAGAGGAAGGAGGAGGCATTTCTGTGAGGGTTAAATGAGAATGTCTGTGTGGTGTTCAGCACTGGCTAAGGCTCATTGTCATGAACCCACCAGGGCAGTGATTAATACGAATAACAGGACCAGCAATGTGGTCATGGGGAGGAGTGCTTGCCACAGGAGTCCACTTACCTGAGCTTGAGCACCATGACCCACGACAAAAAAAGAAAGAACTGGACTCCTGAAAGAAAGATGTCCTCTAACTTCCATGTGTGTTCCCTGACAGTCACATGCCTGAAATCACACATGCATACCAACATTCATGTCACACACACACATATACACACACCAAGAAATTAAAAGCAGAATAACAGCAGTAGTTACAAGAGTTATTTCAGCTGGGCTGCTGTAAGAAAATATCCTAAACTGAGCACTGAGCGGCTTATAAACAATGGAAACCGATTTCCTATATTTCAGATTTGGAAAATCCAAAGTCAGGGCTTCAGGGCGTTAATTCTGGTGGGGGTTACACTCTTCATGGATGCCCATCTTCTCATCATAGCCTCAGGTGATGCAGAGCAAGGGAGCTATCTCAAGTGTCTCTTATAAGGACACTAGGCCTGTCCTTGAGGGCTTTACCCTCATGACCTAACCAGTTCCCTCAGGGCTTCACATCCTAGCATCATGACCCTGGGCATGGGGATTTCAATACAGGAACTCTGAAGTGAGATAAAGATCCAATCCCTTGCAATAGCTTATGGAGAGCAATTAACCACGTCATGGGAGCTTGTGGAAAGGACTTTAGCCATGAGGCATAACAGGACCAGCAAGATGGCTCATGGGGAGGAGTACTTGGTACATAAGGCAAGTTACCTGAGCTTGATCCCCATGACCCACAACAGGATGAGAGAACTGACTCCTGAAAGAAAGATGTCCTTTGACTTCCATGTGTGTGCCCTGACACACACACACACACACACACACACACACACACACACACACACCCCAAGAAATTAAAAGCAGAATAACTGCAGTAGTTATGAGAGTTATTTCAGCTGGGCTGCTATAAGAAAATATCCTAAACTGAGCAGCTTATAAAGAACAGAAACCTTATAAATACCACACACACACACATGCACACCTAAAATTACACATACATGCCAACATTAGTCTCTCTCTCTCTCTCTCTCTCTCTCTCTCTCTCTCTCTCACACACACACACACACACACACACCAACAATCCACAAGCAGAGTAGTGCAGCAAAGACCTTGTGGGGGCATCTGAGCTCCTCGTTTGTTTTGGTGTAAAAAGCAAGGCTCTGAATTCAGTGGGAAAGAAGGGTATTTGGATTGTGGGTGCCAGGTCACAAGGAGTCTGGGAGGACACGGCAGTATTTTCTTGCCTTCCTGTCCTTCTGTCTTAACACCTGGATGTCCTTTTGTCAAACCAAATCCATCCACACATTGGTGAAATGTTTCAGATAAGCTTACCATTCTGCCAGCAGGAGACACAGGGTGTTGTCAAGGTCAGTAGCTGTGCTACACTTCTTTCCCTCTTGTCCTTAATAGCATCAGGTGAGGGCTGGCAAGAAGGCT